GAAAATGAAAATTAATGAGAATTAGAATCAAATATTTTTCGAATTATAAAATTAAAAAGATTTTGAATAATTAAAATTTTGTAAAATTTAACTCAAAATAATTGCTTTTTTTTTGCAAGTATTTTTATTAAAATTTTTGAAAATAAACTCTTGAAGAATTTGAATTGCAAATTTTGAAAAGAATTGAATTCTCAAGCATTTCAATGAAAAATTTTCAAGTTTAAATTAAGAAATGAAAATTAATGAAAATTATAATAAAATATTTTTCAAAATATATAATTATAAAAAGATTTTGAATAATTGAAATTTTGTAAAATTCTAACTCAAAATAATTGATTTCATTCAAGTATTTTATTAGGATTTTTTGAAAATCAACTTTTGAAGAACTTTAATTGCAAATTTTGAAAAAAATTGAATTTTCAAACATTTTAATAAAAAATTTTTTTTATTTAAATCTTTCTAAATAATTTCATTTCTTTTTTGAAAATTTAAATTATTATAAGTTGTTGAATTTGAAATTTTTTGAAAATCTTAATTCCTACGGAATAATAATATTGATTAAATATCTTTTTAATAAAAAATTTATTGATATTTTCAAATAATCTGACAATTAAAAAAATTCGTAAATTAGTAAATTTTTTTTTGAAATTATTTCAAGTTTTTATTTTCTAATATATAATTGAAGAATTGTAATTGTAAATTACAATAATTGTAAATTGTAATTGCGTAAAATTGAATTGTAAACAAATGGATTTGAAAATTGTGAAAGAACTTTTTCAAAAATTTGTTAAAAATAATCAGTAAATTTTAATTGATTCAAAAGCAAGAAGTCGTGAATGATTTAAGTAGATTTTACCAAAACTCAAATTTAGAAAGGGAATAGTAATAATTCTTCTGATTAAATAAAAGATTTGTTTAAAAGTAAAGAAAAAGAATGAAGAAATTATTCTGGAAAAATAATAATTAATTCGAGATAATAAATAAAAAAGAAAAAGTATAAAAATAAGAGGAGCTTTTTTAAATATTATTTTTGCCTTTCATGAAAATCAAGTGAGATTTTCTATCACCTGTGCAATTCGAAATGAATAATGAATATTTACATCCGAAGGTGAATAATAGTAATAGTACTAAGTGAGATGAATAATTCCTCTCGGTTATTAATAAATCCGCGCAGTGAAAGTTCTTGTTTAGATGTATACCAATTAGAATTGGACGCGCTAATTCAAGAGGATATTTTTTTTCTTCTGTTGTTGTTGATGGACGAGAGCATTTACCGTTCCCGAACCACCTGTTTTATGATCGGTATCTTTCTGTTTCCCCTGGTCTACTTTTCTTCTTCTTCTTCTTCTTCTTCTTCTTCATCATCATTATCTTTATCTTCTTTTTTCTTTTTTCTCTCCCTTTTTGTTTTGGGTGCTCTCTTTTTTGAATTTTTTTTTTTTTCATTATATGAAGTTAGGAAAGAGAGAAAGAGATAAATGTTTTATTCACTCAATATGAGAGAATTTTCTTCTATTCAAAACTGCAGATGAGACTGGACCAAAGGGCTCCCAAAAAGATTGTAATCGCTTTACACACGAATGCTACACTTGATCCTGAAACCGGTTCCACGAGGATTCTCAAATCGAGCACACGCACGTATTAGGCTCTCCTTCTCGGTGCGGTTGGGTGTGAATTGAGAATGTGTGAGTGAAACGCACGGGAAATACGTGGTTGAAAAATAAGTAGACCCGCGACTCATTGTTCAACGTGAGTCGAATCCCTAATTTCATTTTTTCTCTTTTTTTCTTCTTCTTCTTCTTCTTCTTGACAAACGAAAAAGTATTCTCTTACGGAACTTGTATATTTCTTTGGCTTAGAGAGGAGGGATTTTATTCTTTTTTTCTCTTCGGAATTTAAATAATCATTTTTTTTTTTTTTGAGAACTGGAGAACATTTTTTACACAATTGCCTGTTGGAAAATTTTTCTAAATCCAATTTTGAAGAAAATATCAAAACAAAAACCGTTGTCTTGAAAATTTCTAAACTAATTTCTAACTAAAATGAATAATTTTCTTTTGAATAGAAAATTTTGACAAATTTACAGTAAATTAATGGAATTTAATTTTTCTTTCGATGTAAATTAATCTCTACACGAAGTGTAAATTTTGCTACGTTCAAAGTAAATTTTACTACGTTCAAAGAATATATTTGTAAAAAATTAGTAAAATTTACTTCGAACGCAGCAAAATTTACTCCGAAAGTAGTAAAAATTACCAAAAATTCGCAGAAGTTTCTGACAGTTTAGGTTTTACTAATTTTTAAAATATACAATTAAAAAAAAAAAGATTTTGAATATTTAAAATTTTGTAAAACTTGACTCAAAATAATTGATTTTTTTCAAGTATTTTATTCGAATTTTTGAAAATCAACTCTTAAAGAATTTTAATTGTAAATTTTGAAAAGATTTGAATTCTCAAAAATTTTAATAAAAAATTTTCAAATTTAAATTGAAAAATGAAAATTAATGAAAATTATATAAAAATTTTTTTCGAAATATATAGAATTAAAAAGATTTTTAATACTTGAAATTTTGTAAAATTTAACTCAAAATAATTGATTTTTTTCAAGTATTTTATATTAATAATTTTTGAAAATCAACTCTTGAAGAATTTCAATTGCAAATTTTGAAAAGAATTGAATTCTCAAAAATTTTCATGAAAAATTTTCAAGTTTAAATTAAAAAGTGAAAATTAATGAAAATTATAATACCTAAAATATTTTTCGAAAAATAGAATTAAAAAAATTTCGAATAATTGAAATTTTGTAAAACTTAACTCAAAATAATTGATTTTTTTCAAGTATTTTATAGTCATTTTTGAAAATCAACTCTTGAAGAATTTTAATTGCAAACTTTGAAAAAAATTATATTTTCTCAAAAATTGTAATAAAAAATTTTCAAGTTTAAATTAAAAAATTAATATTAATGCAAATTATAATAAAATATTTTTCGAAATGTAGAATTTAAAAGATTTTGATTAATTGAAATTTTGTAAAATGTAACTCAAAATAATTGATTTTATTCAAGTATTTTTTTTTTAGAATTTTTTGAAAATCAACTTATTTGAAGAATTTTAATTGCTTTTGAAAAGAATTGAATTCTCAAACATTTTATTGAAAAAGTTTCAAGTTTTATTTAAAAAATGAAAATTAATGTAAATTACAATCCAACATTTTTCGAAAAAAGTGGCTTTTTTCATTCTTTTTTAAATTCAATTATTTTCAATTCAATTCTTTTCGAAAAATTAAAGTTTAATTTTTAAAAACCAAAGTTTTAGAATTGTTTTAACATAATTTTTTTAAGAAAAACATTATTTTAAAATATTTAAAAAAAAAAATGATTTAGAGATGAAGTTTAGTTGAAACGTATAAAATAATTGAATTTTAAATGTGTTTTAGTTGTAATTTTTAGAAATTCTTAACAAAATTTTAATTATTTTCTTAAATTTTTCCTCAATTCAATGATTTTCAATATTTATTATTTTAATAAAATTTTCCCAAATAATTCAGTAATTTTTAAAAAACAAAGTCTTAGAATTGTTTTATAACACTGTTTAACATTGTTTTTAGAAATTATTAAATTTCAAAAATTTTTTAATTGAATTTTTTCTAATTTTATTTTTCTTGGAAAAACAAATAAGTATTATTTAAATATTTATTTAATAAAATAATTCAAGTTTTCTGCACTAAAAATGCAATTTAAATTATTAATAATTTAAATTGTATTTTTAGTGCAGAAAACTTGAATAATATTTTCGTGAGAATTCTTACAAAAAAAGCAGTTTTTAATTTATAAAAATTGTATTAGAAAATATTTTTTTTAGCAAAAGTTGCCTCATTTTTTTTGTTTTCAACTATACTTTTAAAAAAATAAAGGAGGGAACAGGAGAAATTACTCGGTAAAAGTATAATGACTGACATAATAAATAAAAAGCATCAGGATGTTTACTATAACTGGGAATTGAAATTATCTGGGGGAAACTGTGCTGAGCGGGGAATTTTATTAAAAGTTTTAAAGCTGATCTTCCCATTTCATTTTAACTCTTTTTGTTGACTAGTTCTTTATTTCCTTCCAGAGGAAAAACCGAGAATTAACTGTAGGATTTTATTGTCGAATAGGGAATTACATTTACAATGTTTAAACCCACTTTCATTATTTTGTTAATAAAAGAATTTTTCCTTCTTTACGAGAATAATTTTTTTTTTTTTTTTTTTTGCTGAAATAATTGTTTTTTGCATTCTCAAAAATTGAATTTCAAGACATTCACATAATTATTTCTATAGTACAAATTTTTCCTTTTTTTGTTTTTTTTTCTATTTCTTTTTTCTTCTTTTTTTATTTCTTTTTCTTGTTTAATTTCTTTTTATTGTTTTCCTTTTTCTTTTTTCCGTTTCTTTTTCTTTTTCCGGTTATTTTTCCTTTTCCCATTATTTTTGCTTTTTCTGTTTCTTTTTTTCTTTTGCTCTTTCTCTTTTTTTCGTGAAAAACAATATTTTTTCATTTCTTTTTCTTGTTTTTCTTTTTTTTATTTTCTTTCTTTTCGTTTCTTTTTTCTTTTTATGTATCTATTTTTCTTTTGCTCTTTCTCTTTTTTTCGTGAAAAACAATATTTTTTCATTTGTTTTTCTTGTTGTCTTTCTTTTTATTGTTTTCCTTTTTCTTTTTTTCCGTTTCTTTTTCTGTTTCTATTTTTTTGCTCTTTCTCTTTTTTTCATGAAAAAATGATATTTTTCCATTTCTTTTTATTGCTGTCCTTTTTCTTATTTTCTTTCTTTCCGTTTCTTTTTTCTTTTAATGTTTCTATTTTTCTTTCGCTCTTTATCTCCTTATTTTTCTTGAAAAAAAACAATAATTAGGAAAATTTGTACTTCATATTAATATTCTTTAATGTTCTACTGTCCCGAATGAAAATTTAAATGTTTAATAACTTCTTAACGAGCATTAAATTTATTTTTAATTTCAATTCTCTTTTCCTTAATGAGATACTTTCATGAATTGTTTCGAAAATGACAATTAGAAAGTAGGGATTTGTTTTTTGTTTTTATTTATTTTTTTTTTGTTTGGGTTATAAGAGAAGTAAATACACTATAAAGAGAATCCTTAAAATATTCGATTACTACTGTCATTATATTTTTATTTTTCAAGAAAAAGTATAATTTAGATAATTTTTACAAAAGTTAAGTGCTTCCAGTTCCGTTGGCTGTTGAAGAAACTTTTCTTGTTCATTGGCGTAGAAATAATTGACTTGTTCAACGACTAATTATATATGAGTACATATTGTCATGTGAAGAAAATAAGTGTAACTTGTCCGAACAAATTTTAACTGATTTTATTTTCAATAAACTTTTTTCTTTTTCAAGTTACCACCAAAAAAAATTTACCACTATTTAAAAATTTTTAAATTTCAAAAATATTTAACAATTCAAGAAAGTAAAAATTTCTTGCTGAGATTTATATTTTCAAAATTTACATTTCGATTCTTTTGCCAACAATATTCCTGTTTCGATATCTAAAATTCAATCTTAAAAATAGTATTTCAAGCAATAAAAAATGAATTTTAAAAATGTAATAACACTTCCGCTATTCGTTTTCATCGCAATAAAATTAGATGAATTAAGAAGATGTAACTCCCGCGGGTGTATCAAAACGTTTATATCATGAATAGTAAAGTTCTCAACACTCCATTAAATTCTTAATTGCTGCATTAAAACCTAAAATGAGAATCGTGACTTAAGAAATAATAACTAATTATAAAGTGTATGTACTACCTCATGATAAAGAAATCGTGCGTGACTTTTTAATTCTCGAATCTGCTTCTATATGAAGATTTATAATTTTTATCACTAATTTTCTCATAATATAAAAAATTCATTTTTTCGATCAAGAAATTTGATTTTACTGTATAAATTTTCTTAACGAGTTTCAAACAATTTTTTTTCATTTTAAAATACACGGATTTGTAAACATTCATAATCAATTTACATACATGTGTGTAAATAAATATTTGTTCATCTTTGTATATTCTGTTAATTTCGAAAATTCAATTTTCATATTTAGTTTATGTTTATATTTCCTTAATTATGTCAATATTACTCTTCATTACTCTTTATTACTGTTCATTACATTCATTTTTATACTATTTTGTTGATATTTATGTTGATATTTATTTTTTAATATTTAGAAAGTATCATTTAATGTTTATTTTCAATTTAATTTTTATTTATAAAAAAAAATCTTTTTTCTAAAAGCAAAACTCCAATGAGCGGGAATTTATTATGTTTTAATTTAGTTATGTTAATTGTAAGTGAAAAAAAAAATTATGATCATGAAAATAAATTGTTCGACTATAAAAGATGCACGTGAAAGTACTTTCAAATTATAAATGTTTTAGAAGATTATTAAAATGAGTAGAAAATTATTTTCTAATTAAATATATATAGGGGAAATTATTTTTTTATTATGCAGGAGATAAGTAAAATATTTATTAGAGTCAAAATATGTTGATAATTATTTTTTATATTAAAGAAACAATAGTGAAAAAAATTTCTTTGATTATAAACGTTTGCTTGTTTATAAAATTAAAGTTTAAATTTAAATTAAAATTAATTAAAATAAAACAGAAAAAAATCGTTTATTCGAATGTTTATAAATAATTTTAGTGCGAAATGAAATAGTCGAGAAAATTTGAAAGGAGTTCCGCTTGTACAGTATGGAAAATAATAATAATAATAATAATAATAACAGTCGAAACTTGTGAATAAGTCAATTATTGATTAAGAATTAGTCACTGCAAACACGTGTTAAGTCACATTGAATTAGAATAGAACTTTGAATATATGTCTTTTATAGAAATGTAGGATAATTATTATGAAGTCAGTTTGTAAAGGAAAATAATATGTAATTGAAATCTTTTACTCTAAAGGGCGTATCATTAATGCATTTCTTGTGCAAGAACAACGCCCTTTTCATACCCAACTCTTCAATATTATTATACCACGCATTCACAATTTATCAACTCAATAGTCAGATTTAACTTACACTTATTATATCCTCCACCAGACCTTTTTGTATTTTATTTATTTATCCGGTATTGATTTTGGATCACCAAAAATTAATCCTCTTCATCGTATTTTTGTTATTTTCTTTTGTCTCAGGCACAAAATTCTGTAGTAAATATTAAGTAAAAATTTACAATTACTTTTTATGGATATTATTAATATTGATATACAATTAAATTTTTCTTTTTTTTAAACTCTCCACCTGCGAACGCCAATGTCACCGCCAGATGGCAATTCGGTTGCTAAAATCAGATTCCTCGCCACCTGGTGTCGGCCTTGGCGTTCTCAAGTGGAGAAATTAAACCACCATTTTATTAGGAACATTTTTATGACACTTTTAATACTATTTTTTATTTTTACATTCAGTCCGAGGCCTGTATATTAGAAAAACAATTTAATTCAATTAGAAAATTTTTTTTCTTTTGAATTTTATTTTTAAAAAAAGACGATAAAGAAAATATTTTTTAACCAATTAAAAGTTACATATTCCAAAAAGTTCGAACGTCCAATGAAATGTTTTGAATTAAATTTGAACGAAATGTTTTTGTTAAAATATTTTGTTAAATTACTCACTGAAATAAAATTGAAAACCATTAATTAAAAATTTTGAAACTTTAAAAAATTATTTTCCAATACGTGACTCAATATTATTTATAATAAAATGAATAAAATTTAAATTTGAAATTTAACCATTTCAACCAAAGACATTATAGAATAACATAATTCGATTCAATTAAAAAAAATGTTTTTTCTTATAAATCGTATTTAGAAAAAAAAGAAAAAGAGGAGACGATAAAAAGAAAATATTTCCTTCATTGTTTCGCTTTATCTCGCATTTAATCTGAGTTATATACTTTTCCAAGCTTTAAACTCTTTGATGCTCACCGACCCTTTAAGGATTTATATTTTCCTGCTCTGTACCTATGGTATTAACTTTTATGCGCCAAAATTAAATATTATTCTTGTAATTTAGAAGTTGAATTAAATTCTTCTCTCTTTTTTTTTTTTGCAGAAAAAAGGAAAAATTTTTATTTCTTTTTTCGTACTTTTCTGCGGAGAGAAAAAAAAATAGTTTCTTTCATACTGTTTTCTTTTTTTCTTCATTTCTCTTATAGTCTATAAAAAGTAGAAACTTTTATGGTACATCGGAGGTCTATTGTGCAGTATACAAACATATCTTTTTTAAGTGTATATAATCCTTGTATCACAGTCAAGTGTTTTAATTTTGACGCTTTTGTTGTTTTGAAAAAAAGTTTAATAAAGAGAGGGAAAAAAATCGCGGTTTTTTTATTGATTTTCTATTGTTATTTTTTTAATGACTTGTTACTGTTATAGTAATAGTAATTTATAGTAAATTTAATAAATTTTTAAATACTAAACATGACAAAAATCGTAAGTCAATTCTATACTTTTAATAAAAACAGTTTCATTCGCGGTGTTATGAGATTTAAAAAAAGTATTTCACACCTTTCACAAAAAATTTCCATTTCTTCTCTTCTCGCATTAATTTTATAATACGAGAGTGATGCATATTATCAATAAATAAAAGTTTGCAACATTTACGTGCGCGTAAGATTCGCGAGAATAGTTTTACGGATCGTGCAACTCTCGCGAAAGCATTTATCGTTCACGTGGTGTGTTCGCTTATAATGTTCTCCTGCCATCCGGAGAATGTTGATAATATGTTCAAGGTTGACATGTTTATTGTCTTCCTTTTTTTTTAACACCCGAGAGTAAAGAAAGGAAGCCATTAATTTTACAGATTGGAAAATTACCTTATCAGAAAAAGAAGACCGCGCGCGAATTTTTTTTTCCGAACTATTGACTTGAATTTTTTTCACATAATTATAATTTGCTTATATTTTTTGTGTTTTCTTTTACTTTTCGGAGAAAAATAGTATTTAATTTTCATTTTGGGGTTATTTCTTTGGGAGGGGGGGGGGGGATTTTAATTTCGAATAATTTTTGTTATAATTATAATTTCGTCTATCCTTCTGGATAAGAATTTTTTATAACAATAGTTGTAGTTCATTATATTAAAATAATAGTCATTATAATAATTAAACTATAATACGAATTATTATTATATTTTAAAATGTGTTTTCCCTCGTTACTTTCTTGTGGCACAGAAACCTAATTACACTTCTCACTTGAGTAAATTATAATCCTATAATATATACCACATGCTACGTAAAGTATTATTTTGATTTATTTAAATTTTCTATGTGCGTAAAATTAATTATTTCGATCTTTTTTTTTGTCTCTCACTAGATAATTATTTTATTACTTATATATAAATCATAAATAATATAATATTAATATTACAATACTATTATTGTTAATTAATGTAATAATAAATAAATAATAATAACATTAATCTTAATAATAAATAGATATAATAATAATAAAATTTATAATATAATAATAACAATAATAATAATAATCTCAAAATTTTAATTATAATTAACACTACAAAGTGATAAAGTCAAAATTATGATAATAATAATAAAAATAATATAATTAATTTTGTTAATTTTTAATTTTTATTATTTTTTTTAATTATGTTTATTTATTTATTCCGGTTAATAAATTTTTTATATTATTAAAAAGCAATACGAATTTATATATAGTAAATAATATTTTTTTTTCTCAAACATCTTCATCGAATTCGGACATGTTTGATTTTGGCGTTTAATTTTTATTTCGATTAACTGTTTAATGAACATGATTGAAAATTCAATGAGCGAAACGAAAAGGGAGGAGTGTATTTACTATACATTACGTATATATCCGTGTCCCATTCTCTGCTGATGACGAATACAAAAACCGAAAACGTGTTTTTCACGTTTTTCGTCGTTGAAAAAAAAATTTCATTTTTAATAACACAAAATATAATTCACTTAAATAATTGAGCTTAATTAACAAATATTTATAGTAAGCGAAAGAAATTAAAAAACAAACGTGATTTTTTTAATACAATTATTTTTAAAATCTGTTCTCATTTATTTATTATTATATAAATTCTTAAAAATATAAAAGAATAATATTTTTTTATATTCTTATGAATTTGTCACTTGGTAAAAATTATAAGTATATAGTTAATATTTAACAAAATTATCAATCTTCCAAGTTAAATCAATTTTTTTATTTATTATTATTATTATTTATTATGTATTTGCTATTATTTATTTACTAATATTTATCTTTTATAAATTTAATAATATTTATTTATTATGTACCTATTTATTATTATTTATTATTCATTATTTGCTTTCGGTTTTTTAAAACTTTTATAAATTTACTATTATGTACTATTATATATTAACATTTTATTATTGTGTATTTAATTTAAATGAAAAAAATTATATTTACAAAATATTGAGATTTATTTTGAATTAGAATTTTTTATTTCTTTATTTTATTATTTATTTAATAATATTACTTATTTTTCTACTTCACTATTTTTTAAAATTTACCATTCTTCCAGAGAAAATTTTTATTCAAACCAAATATAATTTATTTCAGTTAAATAAAAGTACATTTTTCTCAGAGCCGAATAAATTATTTATTTCTTTTAAATAAAATTTTTATTTAAACCAAATATAATTTATTTGAGTTCAATAAATGTATATTTGTCTCAAAGTCAACTAGTAGTTGTTGTTTTAAATAAAAATTTTATTAGACTTAAATAAAACTTTTTTTTTGAACCAAATAAAATTTTATTCAAATAAAATAAAATTTATTTGAACTAAATAAAATTTTATTTGAACCAATTAAAATTTTATTTAAATCAAATAAAATTTATTTGAGCCAAATAAAATATTATTTAAATGAAATAAAATTTATTGGAACCAAATAAAATTTTATTTAAATAAATAAAAAGTCTTGGCTCTGAGTGAAATATATCTTTTTTTCTGAGTGTACAATTAATTTTTGTTTTTATTAAAAAAAAGGGCATATAAAAAATAGGAAAAGGAGAAATTAAAAATAGTGAATCGTAAAAATATTCGACATCAAGTTGTGAGGACTGTAGGCTTTTAGGTTTAATATACAGAATAACAGAACGTTACGGGAGTGTTTTTGGAGGAAGTAAAGGGAGTTATTATTCATTTATTGTTTAGGTGCGCCTTGTGTTACCAGGTGAACCTATTTTTTAACCACCCGATAGGTAGATATATACAGGGAGGTATGATCAGACGGGACCAATGGAGCCATGGTCCCGCTATCCGGTCGTCCGCTAGGCTGTAGGTGAATGAACTTCAGTCCGCCTACTGACTTTACCTGCCAGGAGTTTCTTTGCTATCTCCAAAGGAAGAGCTTGATATGAGCTTGCTATAAACTTCTTCATCTCTCTTTCTCTCTCTCTTCTCTTCTGTATACACTTTTCCATATATACCTTTTCCGTGAGCGCACACACCCCGTCGCTCCTTTTCTCACCTTCAAAAATTATTCTCAACGCCTTTTTCTTCTTCTTCTTCTTCTACTTCTTCTTCTTCTTCTTTTTCGTCTTCTTTTCCTTACTGACGTTTGACGACCGGCGGTTAGAAATCTGAGAAAGAAACCAACCAGGAAAAATAACTGCTTTTTATACTTTTAAACTTATATGGATGTCTGGTCTAAAGTTCTTTTTTTTCTCAAAAATAATTATACGCTTTGGTGCATTCTTATTTTTGTCTTTCTCTCTTCTTCTTCTCTCTTTCTCTTTCTCTCTTAGGTTCAAAACGAATTTTTCGGAAAATTATACACGTGGGTCTAAAAATTTATTTTTTGTTAACTTGTTAATGGTTTTTTTTAGAAGCCTTTTTTTTGTAGTAAAGTGCTTAATTTTGAACGAGGGCAATTTTTCGACAGGGAAAATTTTTGTTTCCTTTCTTTACAAATACCTACTATTTTTGAATTTGAATTTAATTAATATAAGTCAATAATTTTTACATTTGTTTTTGGATTTTATTTCAATATATCTTTTACATGCGGCCTTTTTCGGCTAATATTTTAATGAGTTAATAATTTTTACATTCGTTTTCCATTTTTATTGTATGTAAAAAATATGGAAATAAAAACGGAAAACGAATGTAAAAATTATTAACTCATTAAATTATTGGCCGAAAAAGGGCCATGTAAAAAACATTGAAATTTAATTAATATAGTTCAATTTTTTTTAAATTCAATATTATTCATTTAAATTTCCATCATTAGTGATTCAAAATTAAAACTAAAATTTTTTTTTCATTGAAATTAATACTCTCTAAATTTGAATTAGTAAAAATGTTTTCGAATTTGAATTAGTGACTGAATTTTTGCCTTTGAATTAGTAAATTTTACTAATAAATTAGTAGAATTTACTATTTATTAGAAAAAATTTTTTTTTCCTAATCATAGAATTAGAAGAGTATAATAAAAAATTTTTATTCAATAGAAAATTCTATTAAAAAAATATTATTCAACAGAATTTTCAAATCAAAAATATATTTTCAATAAAATTTATCAATTTTCAAATTTTTATTCAATGTCATTTTCAATTAAAAAATTTTTATTTAATAGGACTTTCACAATAATGTTATTTAACAGAATTTTGAATGAAAAAATTTTTTGAATTAATAAACATTTGTTCAATAAAATTGATTAATTTTCAAATTTTTATTCAATGGCATTTTCAATTAAAAAATTTTTATTTAATAGGACTTTCAATATTAAAAAAAAATATTATTCAACAGAATTTTGAATTAAAAAAAATTTTTTTAATTAAAAATGCTAGTGAATAAAAATTTGAAAATTAATTAAATTTTATTGAAATGATGTTTTTTAATTCAAAATTCTGTTGATTAACTTTTTTTTTAATTGAAAGTACTATTGAATAAAACTTTTTTTAATTGAAGGTACTGTTGAATAAAACTTTTTTAATTGAAAATGCCATTGAGTAAAAATTTGAAAATTAATAAATTTTATTGAAAAGATAATTTATTTAATAAAACTTTCAATTAACAAAATTTTATTCGATAGAATTTTCAAATGAACAATTTAAGAATTTTTATTGAATTAGTCATAAACAGTATATAATTTAGGAATGGAATTAGATTTGAAAAAAGACTCTTAGAAATTAAACTTGATTAGATAAAAAATATTTATAGAAACTGAATAATTAGGAATCTAAATTTTTTCTTAATCCCATAGTCGAAAAATTGCTCCTGCAATAAAAGTGTATTACTAACATTTTTCTCGAGCACACTACGCGTACACTTACTATTCAATGTATTTTGAAATATTGTCGTAATAATAACGATGTAGAATTTCTGGTTTTCCACTTGAATCCAGTTTTTTACTTATAAAAATTCGTAACCCACTTAAATCATTAAAAATTCTGCTCACAAAGCCAAAAAAAGGGGGAAAAAATCCTTATCTCTCTCTCTGTCTCTCGAAACATTTTTACACGGAGAAACTTTTTCTTATAATATTAAATATATTTGGTTATGTTTATTCTAAAAGTACGTTAGAATGTGAGGATTTTTCGTGCGTTGTGCTAATAATTTCAACATTAATACGAAAATATGATAAGTTCGTTATATATTAAGCAACCTTCGGTGTACAAAAATTACTATCTGCATTAGAAATAGTCTTATTTTTCTTTAGAAAAGAATAAGATGCCATTTTTTGTTTGTGAAATAATACGGTAATTCTAACCTTTTTTACACATATAGATAGAATATATAAGAGACATTCTAACGTAACATACCAATTTTGGAAGGACTGCGGGCGGACTTAACCGATTTCACCCGAGCATCACCGAGTCCATCACCTG